ACGACGTCAGACCGCCGAGGACGGTTCCTGTCGCCAGAACCGATGCTTCTGCGACGATGTTACTCTATTGCTAGGTGGCGTCGAGTATTGAGGCTCACCATCTCTTCCCGTGACACGGTTATAATGGTTGCACCTTGTCACATTGCTATCGCATCCGGGATCGATGACTGGGGGGGGATTTGCAACAGTATCGTTGCCTGTCGGTCTCGTGAGTCCTCTACTTGATGTTAGTCGTACAAGAGACTGACCCTGGGCGTTGACAAAAGCAATTCCAACAAGGATAGTCAACGGGAGAGTCTTGACGAACAGCATAATGAATGTCGAGTTGAAAACGAGAGGATGGAAAAAGCGGTCAATGTGTTTGGGTGCTCCGAAGTGAAGGCTCTACTTAAATAGCTTTGGCAGTCAGCCTCTAGATAATTTGACTTGATATAATGCTGGGCATCTAACGACCCGCTCGGCTCCACAAGAGCAGAGAGGGTAACATTGTGGTCGTGATGCGGAATTAGATGGGTAATAGCGAGTCCGAAGGTTATCAAAGTAGGTAGAGAGGTCAACTTAGATCGTCATGAGGGCTCCGATCAGTGCACCTCCCGCAACGGCGACAAAACCAGCGAAGGCTGCCATGGGGTTGACACTTATCCCGCGCCATCATTATCGTTGTCTGCCGCCGCGCTAGAAGCCGCTGAACCAATGGCGCCAGTCGCAACAGTGTATTCAGAGGCCCATGATGTTACCACTCCTGGACGAGACTGTCACTAAGGTACGTTCTATATACGCTTGTTCTCAAGCGTTTTGAGTCTGCCTGGGGGAGACTAAAGGTACGTAGACGCGATGGTGAAGAGACTAACCAGCGCCTGAAGTTGCCAATGTGAGGGCGTGTCCAGCTTGGTCAGTGACGACTGTACAGTGATCCAGCAACGGCTTCCAGAAGATGTTCACGTCTCTGTAATTACACCTCTCTCGGCTATTCTCACGTAGGATCATGATGCACGCGTCTTTCGCCCGCTCAGTCGTTCGGACGTCGCTCAACCAGCTCTGTCGTTCGCTCGCTCTGCTCGCTCCGATGGTCATGAAATTGCTTTGCCTAAGGTGAAGCTTGGCGAGGCCGCACCTTCACCATCCGAGAACGGGATGAGAAATTGGAAAGGCGATTTGCCAAGGTATAAATGCAGCTTCAAGCAAGATAGGCAGCACCAAGGTTTTGATATTCGCTCGTGTGGCTATCATCGCGGTGGTGAGAAACAACACGTACACGTGATAGTGAGGACGCCTTCTTCCCAACTTCTTCCCACCAGAGATACTCACGTCAACGGCAGATGTTGCAATACCGAGGACGAACAAGAAGCACGCCAGGTTGCACCGGCTTTGTAGCCTTCCCGCATCCCGACAAACCGGTACATCGAGCAACTCCCTCGAGCCGGATCATCAGATATGGTTCCCACATACCGCTTACTAGAGTTGGGGACCATTCGTGTACGTACCCATTCCGCTGAGCGCGCCAACAAACCGAGCAGATACGTGGTTCGGCTGAACCACGCTAGGTGCTCAAACCCCGAAACTTTCACACCTCAATATTCTGTCTGTCGTGAGTATTCAAAAATTGTAACGTCTTCCTCACGCCAAGGCGATCTAGTGCAAATGCCGATGAAGCGAGCGGAACTCCCACGACTTAGCTACGAGTAACTGCTTCTGGTAAGTAGTATGTGGCGCAATTGCAAAGTTGCAGCGTGTATGCTAAACTCATACGAGTAAGTCTTAATCAATCTTTGGAAAAAACGTATCGTCCCACGGACCGTGTTGCTTCACTCAAACAATCCCACCCTCAGATCCGGTTTATGAGAAAAAAAATCGTACCGTCAAAAATACTCACCCGGTTGAATGAATGTCAGTGGAGCCAGAGTGGCTAGTGGCGTCCCAGTTCAGACCATTAAATATTGCTGTACATTAGTATGATCATCACAAATGACCCCCTTGTATCCCAGTTGTACATAAACACATTCTTGAAATCCATAGGCATCATTGTAGTTTACTACGATGTTCCTGCTCGCGTCGTAAGGTATAACACGCCCAAGAGGAAGCCAGAAACATACAGGGGCATGCACAGTTTCATGGTCAACATGTACGAACGCTCTCTCCACGCTGGGGAGCATTTCTAGCTTATCCTGGAGCTGCTGACTGACATCATGTGCTTTCCAGAGTGGCGTTGATGCGTCCATCACAATGTCAATCTCCACGAAATAATCGGGACCACTCTGTAGAACCGGCGAGTTAATACAGAATAGCGCGTGAGGAAGATTGACTTGCGTGGTACGCGCGAACGGTGTCCACTTTCTCGATCTCGTCGCTGAAAGTCGTCGCCTTGTACACCAGCAGTTGCAGAAAGTCGTGCGGAGCAGCCTTTCCAGCCAGAAGACCGAACTGCATGTAGATGGTCCTAGTCCAAGACGCGATGATCCCAAGAGCGATCTGTCAATCATTAGAACACGCAGGATGACAGCGGTGGATTTATCGTACCAACACCGCACCAAGTGGATCTAGATACCACTTCCACTTACTTCCTCCAGTCGACATGAGAATACCAAAGCTGTTGATCCATAAATCGTTCCGATGGTCCTCCCAAAGAACCTCGACTTGACTAGAGTGCTTTTTAAATGGATAGCTGAACAGGAATAACAGGAACTTGATGCCTATGCTGGGTTAGCAAACGATAAGAAAGCTGCAGAATTCGCATACCCAAAGCAGCACTGACAGCGATGATAGAAGGAAGATGAAACTCTGACAGGTCATCATTCTTTTTGGAGATTATGGACCGTATCGACTCGACAGCCACAATCATGTTGACGGAGCCCATTCTGCTAACGGTTAACCTCGCGCGTTCCTCGAACACGACAGACATACAAAAAGCCTGCAAATAGCATGTTAGTAGTAGACCATAACACTGTGTGATAAACGTACCATAAACAATGTTTCCTATAGTTTCCAGCCTCGCTCCGCCTACAGGCCACCGCCTTGCATCCATATTTGACGACTTGCGATGTAACCAGAACAAGAGAATGTTGCTCCCAATATCAAACACCGAATCGATGCCTGTGGCCAGAAGCGAGAGAGAGAGCGACGAGATGGCGGCATACACTGCAAGAATGAGATGGTGGTAATCATATAAATAGATGTGTCATACTTTGCAGCACACAGAGGGCGACGTTGGAGATAAGGCTGGCCCATACTGCGAGCTTTACCTGCGAAATGGTGAACCCTCCCAGCCAACAGTCAGGGGGAAAGACACGCACAAATAACCGCGCCGCATCCTCCTCGTCCTTGGCCTCCATCGCATGCTCATCGAGCGGCTTCAGCAGATACTCAATCAACTGGAAAAACGCGAAAGACTGTTAGCCAGCACCACAACAAGAGAGAACGGTGCTGGCCTCATTCTGCTTGCTCTGGTACCGCGCAACCACACTGCCTCCCCCCCGTCTCCGCAGCTCCTTCAGCTCGCCCTCAGTCTTGGCTCCCTTGCGCAGCTCAAATGGATCGCTCGCCTGGGTGGTGGTGGACGACACCAAGCTTGGCGCGCGTTCTACATCCTTGCGATCGGAGGCCGGCTCCTAATTAGGTTTCAGATCCCCCACACCACCACCGATAGCGACGACCACGTACAGGATTCGCCGCAGCAGCAACCGCAGAGGGCTCCGTAGTCTTCGGTTTTATGAGCATAAGTACATGGGAAGCAGCAAGGACGAGAAAACCAGGCAAAGGTAGGAGGCCGTTTCCCGGAACCAGAAACGAGACAACGGGAAACCAACCCGAATCAAGGGAGCTGATGTACCGTACCTCTGGACCTGGTTCGGGAGTACTTTCAGTGGCTCTGCTCATCGTCCTCCAGCGCGAATGCCTGACAGTGGCTGCTGGCAGGATAAGGGGAGGGAAAATGCTGATAACAGTGCTTGCTGCCGGCACAAGCCGGTCGTCTAGAAAACGCCCTGAACATATGTTTCCCCGGAAAGTAGCTACTCAGCCGTTTTAAACCTCAAAACAAGCTCGGTCTTCGAACCAGAGAGTGCAGGACACGATGCTATTAAAAAGACGCAGGTTTTTATATACCACCGTGGAGATTGCGTGGCTCTCACGATGAAAATAGTAAACCAGTTCGCACTGGGGGAAACTAGCAAATATAAAGCTCTACTTGAAGCTTGAAGAACGACGTCCTCACGATATTAAGCTGCCTTGTGTTACACTTTGGTTACATTCGTGAATTTTGAAATGCCGACGGCAGCCTTGCTGGACGTGGACAATGTCAATGGGCGAAATGAGTTTCAATTATTGCTTGTAGTCATTCCACTTACTGGTGGCTTTTTAACCACAAATGCGCAAGTGAAGTGTCATTGACTGTTGGCTTACTGATCTGGTGCAGAACCGAATCAAAGACGGCCTCAACTTGCGTGCGTGCAGCGAAGTAATGTCCATATGTGGTTTACAGCACACGGGAAGTTGCAGTGACTCGGCCGGCAAGCATGGCGTGAACCCGACGTAATGACTTCTAACGTCGACATGAAGCTTCTTGAAACTTGGCGCAAAGAGTAGCAAAGAGTATTTCGTGCATCCATGACGGCCATGGCATAATATTGTTGAGAGGGAAACAAGGTAGGAGTGCAGGCTGCTGAACGGCGTGGAATGTCGGTGGAGCTAAAATCGTAGGGACATGGGAGCAGGGAATGAAGAAGAAGAGTCGTTCCCCGCCCCATTATATACCCACACGGTGTTTGGCGCTGTATACGCGCTCGCGCACCATAACAGGAAGTACCAGCTCAATTACCCACTAGAAGCATCATCAAATGCGCTTCTATGACGCGCTCTAGTCACTGATGACGTTCATCGCTCGACGACGATGTCAGTCGAGTCTCGACGAGACGAACGCGAAACGCAATTTGGTCACGATCACATGTCGTTACGAGTGCTGATTTGTAGTGTGGCGTCGAAATACCGGTCGACGTCTACTACACGGCCGCCTGGCGAAATGGCATCGCGTCTGACTACGAGCGTTTATGATCAGGAGATTGCAGGTTCGAGCTCTGCGGTGGTCAGAGAGCTAAGAGCCCGTTCACCTTTTTCCCGTCGTCGTACGAGAAGTGGCAATGGAATCTGGATCTTCAAACTTCAAAGCTTGGAATGAATAACAAGAAGAGCATCGATTGGAAAGCTATCATCGACAACGCCTACCCATTTTATCTTGACACAAAAAGTTCCTTGGCACGCCGATGGTGGCGTCTGAATCACCAAGCTCGCCGTCAGATGCGTGCAAAGCCAAATCATCAAGAGCAGCCCTCCTCTTGGTATATTTTTCTGTCGCGCGACGAGCGTCGCGGTAACTTTGCGCCTTCCGTTTGGAGGAAAGGAGGTGATGACAGCCGCAATATTGGCCAACAGTGACAGAGTAAATATCGTTGAGAGAGGACGATAGAGAGCAAGAGACGATTTCATGCGTACTCTTAAGAGTTAGGAGCGAACTCCTGGGTAAAACACGTCGCGCTTGTAAACAGTAACCAGTTCACACCGAAGGAGAACAGCAAAATAAAACTACTATAGTACATGTACATACGCGTGATACAGAGATATATTAGTGACTGAGAGACTGGTACACATGCAGAGCAAACAGAGGAAACATTAATATTACCACGCAAAGCCTTCCGGAAACATATTCGAAAAATCAAAGCCCGTCGCAGACGCAGTCACCTCTTCCACTTGATACGACGAGAGTAACGATTCAAAGGAAAAGTCTGTCAGTTCGTCAGCAAACAACTCCACGAACAAGAGGCCGACGTACTTGTAGACTCGGGTGGCGCAAGAAGCTGCATCGGCGGTGCACCGTCTGCCATGCCCAAGCCTTCCCTCGGGCTGCTGCTACTATCCGACGGCGGCGCCTTGACCCCGTCAATCGTCGTAGTATCCCAGCATCGGGAAGCGAGATGAAATTCGGCGTCTTGTCCGATGTTATTGAAAAGTCAACCTTAGACCATCCTCTCCCGCTCGCCCTCTGTTCCAGGACCTGCACACCACGTCAGCACCAGACAAGTCCAAGGCGCGGACAGCTTACGCTGATGATATACCCCAACCCGTTCCAATACGTCTCCATCCTCTTCAGCGCCTTTAACACTGCCGACAAATTCTGCTTGACCAGCCCGGCGATAAAATTCGAATGCACTCCCGCCGAGAAATCCTCCGACTGAACGTCGTGTACGAAGGCTACCCCAGCAATAAATAGACACTGATTGACGAATGGCGCAGCGCAATACGACGCCGCATCGAACAGATCGGCAAAGACAAGATAGTCCACTAGTTGGCGTGAAGAGATAAGCGACAACCTGATGGACCGGTTGACGCTAGCAGAGACAGGCGTCTCCATCCCACTGTTATTCCTGCCAAGATTCGGATGGTGGATGAGCGCCAGGACAGCGTTCGCCCAGAGGTGAAGGAAGAGGAATATTCCCTACAAGACACGTCAGACAGAATACAGTCAACACCTGAACAACTTACACCTTGCTGGACAGCCGATTGCACACGGAAATTCTCCACCGACCACCTGTCACGCACATTAGCAAACACAACATCGAGTATCGGAGTACATACTGTAGCTCGGCAGGCAACTGCTCCAAGAACTTCATCAGCTGATTCTGCAGAGACTGCAGGGTTTCCGGACTGTGAACCACAGGCTCAGTGACTAGCGTCCTTGGACAGCCTCGGCTACCATTCTGGAAATGTGTTAGTCTTGGATAAGCGATCACCTGAGATCACACACCATGATATCCGCGATTCGCCCAGCCAAGGCGAACAGCTTCACGACTTGAACGAAAGGCGCTAGCAAGTTCGTCGGAGGATCGGCGAAGTCGCTATCTGTCGGTAGTGGAAGCTCAATAATATCTTCAGCAATCGTTACTGAGCGACCCGTGCCAAACGCCAATACTCGGTCCTAGAAGCCATTAATAAATAGTGGTGGCACGTAACTACGCTGCATACCATTAAGAAGCAACACCAGAATAGTAGCTTCCCTTCACAGACATCATCGTCGGAGGTCTCAGACTCCAGCTCTCCCTAGAAAGAACGTTAGATGCAGAAAAAATGGTGCATCAAGACATACCGTATGCAATCCAAGATCCAGCGCCATCCTTATAGCAAGCCCAGTAAAATTCCACAAGCCACTTTCCGAGTTCTACGGCCGGACTATGAGAGACGCCTTGGCGTAGACGAGAACTCACCTCGCCAAACTCTGCCCATGATAACAATAATAACCCGCCAACGACATCCATGGATGGTAAACGAAGTAGAGGAGGCACAAGAGTCCATGCAGCCGATATGTACTGCGAAGCTTTTCGTTTCGAATTGGGTGCAAACCTACGAACAGAACTATTAATAACCAAAAGACCTTAGGAACGCGACGTACCGAACGGCAAGTGCGTTCATAGCATGTAGAAGAAACGCAGACATTGTTTCGCTGGTAGAAAAATTCAGAGCGAAACATAAAGCGAGAGGGCAAAAACAAACCTCTGTATCCTCTCTTCAATCTTACTTCTCCGCAAGAATGGAAAGTGTTGTCCAAAGTAGAAAAAGAACGTGTCGATCAGAGAATGATCCGGAGGTAAATTCGATATATCTTCCAAGTCGGGTTCAGAGCAAGCATCTGTGCCAGTGATTCTTGTTCCCGGGGAAGACGCTGGTGAAGTAGTGGTCGAGCTCCGCAACTTGATCACAATTCTATTGAAGCCAGGATGTATCGCCGTGCGCCCAGACTGCCCATGTTTAAGCCGAATGACAATGTGTTTGAGAAGGAATGTAACGCACAAATCGATACTGCGTGGACATTAGCCAGGCCCGTACACATGAGAATTGCACTCACATAATGCACTTTGAGTATCTTGCTCTGTCCCGGATCGCCCTCCAGATATGCCATTGGACGACTGAGCGCCTCCACCATCCGCGCGGGATCGACATTTTTGGGCGTCGATGGGGCCGCTCGTGTTCCGGTCGGCGAGGACGTCGCACTCTGGGTCTGTGTGTCTTCGTATTTCGCATTCATCAAAACGCCGTTCTGTGGTGGGATAGGTGCTGCCTGTGAGTAATGCAGCGAAGGGTTCTGCGCGAATGGGAGCGGGTAGGCCATTTGTTGAGGGACGTCAAAATCCTTTCCATCCGTCATTTAAGTAGTGTGGAGCACTTGCAAGAAAATACCGCACCTCTCGTCCGCGCGACCGTTTGAATTGATCATCTTTCTCTGCTCCTCCATCTCTTTGCGCGTTCTCTTCCGTCGTCTCCCATTGGGCCGCACACATTCTGCGCTCACTTTCGAGCACGTCCCACACACGGGCTGCACATTGTCACATTTAGCCTTTTTCGCGCGACACCGCAAACAAGCCAGAAATCGAGGTTGATTCGCCCCAGATGAGTCCGCTGTCGAGTAGCTCGTCGAGGGTACCGATTGTTGACCAGCTGCAGAAATGCCATTCTGGCTGTGGTTTGTGGCTGATGAGGCCATGATGCCGAACCTATGTTTCCTTTTATGGCAGCTAGGACGCTGTGGCGCAACGCAGAGAAAGGCGCAGATAAAAACGAAGGGGACGGCGGTGAAGGTTAAAGTGGGGGTACCGTTTTGGGTTGCAGTTCGATTGTGGGGGAAGGGACGAAGCGGTTCATATGATATTTCCAATTTGCCACATGCCCGTGAGATCGGCGAACCGTGATCCTTCTCAAATTTTCTGACAGCGACAGATCACCTGCACGGAGCCGCATACAACAGTTGCCCGACACGTAACCAAACCTCCTTACCGTCTCCTTCTCTATAACTCGCGTCCTGCTGTCAGCATCTCGAGTTCAGCCGCGACGCTAGCAACTGTCATTTAACACTGCCCCTTGCCTCTAGATTCAGAGAGTAGGACAATTTATGCCTACCTGACAAGTTCCTCATGCTCGACTTGACAATGATCGCCGAACGATGGATAATCATGATAACATGCGCCTCGACTATCTGCGATCAAGCAGGATCAAGCATTCTCGCGATGTTAGAGGACTTGTTCACCGAGTGGTAATTATCTCCATGGGCGTTATGTATGTTTATGGCATGCTCTTGATCCGAGAGGCAATTGCAGAGGGAGTAATGACCATCGTTGTACATCGCGAGTAGAATCCATCTCCTCATTTAAACCTTCCTTCCTCCGACTTCCACAGATCGACTGTAAAGTGAAACGAGGGAACAGAGGGAATATCTTGAAGAGAGAGAACTGGCGGTGTTTCCGATATCTTGGCGGTGTGCAACGAACGCGACGCGTGTTCCTCCTCGCCGAAATGAACCTTCTTCTTCTTTTCTTCGCCTACTCGCCCTTCTTCTTTCACCTCTACCTCCTTCATCCTCAGCTCTTCCAGCGCGGCCGCCGACAATCCATCAAATCCAAAACCAGGCCCACTCTTCTCCGCCTCTGACACGGTACTTGGTTGGTGCGGCTGCATACACTTTGGTAAAGGCGATTTCGTCGTCTTTGCAGGAGAAGCAGGTTTGGGCGTTATAGGTGTCTGTGCGCGTCTGCGTTTGCGAATCCAAGGTCCGAGAAAGCACACGAGGAATAGGATGGTCGAGAACAGGATGAACAGAATGATGGCGACAACGAGGGATAGATCGAATGAACCAGCGCCAGGCCGGGATATATGTTCCGTCTCGCGCTTTGGGAGCGTCCTATCAAAGGCGGGCGCGGTATAGATATGCATACAAGTGTAGGATGTTGAACGTGACTGTGAAAGCAGAGGAGAAGACGCGAAGGTCGATCGCGAAATCACAGGGGTCAAATTGAAGCATGTTCCAGGCAGGCATTGCGATTACTTGGACGCGGCTGTTGTGTCCTGCAGTGTAGTTCAACCGGTGATCATGAGCGTTCCGAAATAATTATAAGTAGTGATTCTTGCTTTACATATGCTGCCTATTCATCCCAGAAAGAAGTCTACCAAGCGCAATGCCCACCGCTACGAATGGGTGTTAGCACGATATGAATCTCAAGCCAAAACCGTACTCACTCTACCCTTAAATCCATCCCAGTACAGAACG